CCAGGTGAGGCGATGCCTCGCCCTGCTTCAGCTCTTGCTGGTCGGGCTACAGCAGCTGACCAGCATCGATTGTCCGGCACTCCCTAGTGAGATGAACCCAGTACCTCAGTTGAAAATGAAAAATCACCGGTCTTCTGTGTCGCTTGCGCTGGGAGTTGGAGACTGGAGCTGTTCCTATTTGGCTATCTTGCTCCGCGCCCCCCACACTACACTTTCTCAATCAAAGTTCTCATTTATTCCTGTGGTTTCAATTGTCATCTACATGTGAATGACTCTCAAGTCTCTACTTCTAGCTCAGCTCTCTCTCCTGATTTTCAAACAGTTGTATCCAACTGTCTGTAGGACATCTTTATCTAGATATCTTGCAGGCCCTCTAAATTCAGTATTTCCCAAGTTGAACTTATCCTGTTCCCTATTCCAGCAAACTTGCTTTTCCTTCAGAATATCTACCCAAACGAGGCCCTACTTTTCTCCCAGTTGCTAATGTCGGAAAGCTGGGCATCATTTTTGATTGCTCCTTCTACTTTGTCTCTTATAACCAATGAAGTAGCAAGGTAGCGATTCTACCTCTGAAAAATAATTTAACCTAGTCACTTCTCTCCATTGCTATTGCCACTACCCTAAACTAGGCCATTATTTTGCTTAGATTATTATAAAAACCACCTAATGAGTCCCTTTTTTCCTATTCTATCATCCTTTAATCCCTTTTCTACATTGCAGTCAGAGTGACCTTTATAAAATACAATTTTGATCATGTCACTGGTTAAAACCTTTCATTGGCTTCTCAGTACTTTCATGATAAAGTCTAATTCCTTAAAATAGCAAAAAGGTCTGCATGATCTAGCTCCTACTTGCCTCTTCAGCCTCATCTCTCTCTACTCCTTTACTTGTAATTGAACTCTAGACATACTGTATTACTGATAAAGAGTTTATTTAAAGATCTCTCCCTCTCTTTCTTTATTACCTCTGGACCTTTGTATAATCTCTATGCCTGGAATATTTAGCTATCTCTTCCTACTATCATTCTGGTGCCTGCCCCTCCATCCTTGGCCTATCCTTCAGGTCTCAATCACATCTATTAGGAATCCTTTCTTAGTCCATCAAATGTGAATTGAGTACATTTTCTATCTAAACTTAAGTGTGTTGTACTTCTGTCACAGAATCACTCATCACACTGTATTAAAAAAGCATGTTTACTTATTTGTATTTCTCACTCAACTACAAATTCTATGATTAGGAATAAGACTGTCTTATTCATCACTATATCTTAGCACTTTGGCATATTCTTGGTGCTTAATGAAGATGAAAGGAAAGAAGAAAGATTTAGAAAAAAAAAAGGAAGGAAGAAAGAGAAGATGGATTATGAATAATGGTAATATTCTTAGTCAAGTCCACAAGTAATTCTAAAGTACACTGTGGATACCTACCTAATTGACAGACAGAACAAAGAATATTTATATACATTAAATTACAGAACAAAGGGAAAATGTTATTAAAACTAACCTTCAAACGTTTAACTGTAGGAACAGATGAAACAGCGTTCCTGTTTCTTAAATCAGATAAATATGAAGAAATTGTTGACTCTTTAATTTCTGACTTCTGTGCAATTTCAATTTTACCTATGAAAAGAAGCTTCAGATTCTTTAGGTTAAACTTCAGATTTTATTCTTATAAAGTCAAATTTCTTTAAATTTTTGAATCTAGTATTTACCTTTTTATGTTGCCCACAAAAGAGAGAAAATTATTTGAGTTATTAAGTTGCATAATATAAATATCATACATAGATAATTAGGATGTCATTACTATCCACCAAAGACCTTTCAATTCAGAACACTTGAAATAAACTTGTTTTAAGGAACTCACAGCAGTTATGTCCACATGTATGTTTACTTTTACAAGGATGATTGCATTCTCGGTTCCCAGGTTTTTTGCTGGCAGTCATTCCTAAATTAATATAGGAAAAACAATCCTATTTGTCAGTGCATTTATTATTGTTAATTCAATATAATTAATTTTTATCCAGTTTCCTTCCTTTCAGACAATACAAAAATATTGATTTTTATACTTCCTCAAGTGTTTTGTAATCCACGTAATTTTTTTTTTAATAAAGAGATGGGGTCTTGCTATGTTGCCTAGGCTGGAGTGCCGTGGCTATTCACAGGCATGATAATTAGTACTACAGTCTCAATCTCCTCGGTTCAAGAGATCCTGCTGCTTCAGCCTTCCAAGTAACTGGGACTACAGGCAATTACCACCATGCCTGGTAATTTTTAAAACATATTTTCGATAAGTTAGTCCTTGCCCCACTATTAGTCCCAACAAGAAACACTGAGCCACCTACAAGCTTCTCTCGACCTCCCTGGTGTGTATAACCTCCCTGGTGTGTGTGTGTGTGTGTGTGTGTGCATGCGCACGTGCGCGCGTGTACATATACACAGACACTATATATATATAGACTATATATAGAGACACACACAGACATATATATATATAGTTCAATACTCTCAACCTGCATGGTATATATTTTCTATGTATGTGTGTATATATATATAAAACATTATATATATAATGTTAATAGGGTCAAATCTGGCCACATATCAGTAACTTTTATACTAAATGAGGTAAGAATGAGGGTGGAGTTTAAAAACACTTCTGCTGCTTTGTACTTAAGCCTGAAAAACCTGGAAAGAAGAAAACGTCATGGCATTTTGATGGTACTGCTGACAGAAGTTAGTAAACAGGATGTAATACATACTTAATAAATATTGGAAATAAATGCTTTAGGGATCTAATAAATTTGCTATATGAATTCACAGAAAAGAGAGATTATTTCCATCTTGACTCCCCTTAGAATTAACATATCCAAATATATAGTTTATTCTTCATTTATTATATTTTAAATCAGTTTTTCTTGATCTTAGCTCTCACTAGTAGCACAGGGAAGGAGAGAGATGTTTGAACTGGTCCTTGAAGGACAGACAGAAATATGAACTTGAGAATGAGACCAAAGGAAGATATTCCAGATGGAGGGCATAATACCCAAAGGCAGCAAATCACAGATTGTAAGAGCTGAAATCAGCTTATTTTTGCTGGAGCATAGATTTTAAGTGACCCAGAAATGTTGGAGATAGTGGAGAGCTTGAAAACCTTTACAACATTTCTTGGTCCTTTACTCTTCATTTTCCGCACCATCGTTCAATCAAGCTTTTCCAAGTCATGGCACATCTAGACAGTGATAATATACATACTGCAGCCTAGGGTAAATGGATGAGGCTGCTCAACATATGAGGCAATGGCTGGTCTTTAGGGCTGAACAGATCAATGTATTGGGTACTGATGAAGTAAAAAGAAAACACCTGGCAGCTGGAAGCTGACAGCTAAACCACAGTATTCCCAATTGAGCAAACAATTTTGAGAATATAAATACCCAGATAAGGCCACTCTGTGACCATAGTAGAAGAAGACAGAGATAAGACTACCATATAAATATTTCTAAAACTAGAGAAAAGAATTCTCAAGAACCATAAAAAATAATGAAACATCCCCCTCTTCTGGCTAACACAGATGACTACTATTTTTTAAATCCTCTCATTTCCAAAATAAAATGTACCAAAATACCCAATACCTCACTTCCTGAGGGCATCCAATCTAGAACTGACCTCTGCTTTCCCTAAACCTTTCTAAGAGTCACCCAGCACAAGCTGAAATCCTATAATAAGATTCTGAAATCCTATAAGAAGAAAATCCTCCCGGCTCCCTGAGATGACCCACAGTTCTGTTGCTATGGATCTCTCCTTTGCTGCAGTATATTAAATAGACCTAACGTTCCTCAAACACAAGTGTGTTCCTCTTAGGCACTGACTGAAAGGCTTTGACATTAAACTTTGTAAGGTGTGTCATGACTTACTGCTTCAGGTGTTTTGTCCCAAGTCATGATCCCGTTACCTCTCACTTAGATTAGAACTGGTTTCTTGAATCCAGTCCTCCATGCTACAATTTATTCTACACATTGTTGCCTATTTAATGCTTTTAAAGTTCAATGCTGATCAGATCAATTTGCCCACTTAGAAACGTGAGTTACTTCCTACTGCAAACAAAATCAATTCCATCTTCAAGGCCCTGCACGATCCAACTCCAGCTTCCCTTCCTGGGACCCTACATCCATCAAAACACATTCAACTGCCATTCTTCAAATAGTCCCATGCCTTTCTATAACTGTAGCTTTGATATTATCTCTTGTCTTAGAAGACCCTCACTTCCTTGCCCAACAGCTGCCTACCAACCTGCAAGTCTGACTCAAATGGGACCTCTGTGTTGGAGGTCTATGGTGATCACCTGATCTGATTTCCCCCTCCTTTGGGCCACTGTGGCATTTTCTCTGTGCTTACTGCTTACTGTATGCTGCATTATATTTAATGTATTTACAGAAAAAGCCGGGCGCGGTGGCTCAAGCCTGTAATCCCAGCACTTTGGGAGGCCGAGACGGGCGGATCACGAGGTCAGGAGATCGAGACCATCCTGGCTAACACAATGAAACCCCGCCTCTACTAAAAATACAAAAAAATTAGCCGGGCGTGGTGGCGGCGCCTGTAATCCCAGCTACTTGGGAGGCTGAGGCAGGAGAATGGCGGGAACCCGGGAGGCGGAGCTTGCAGTGAGCCGAGATCGCGCCACTGCACTCCAGCCTGGGCGACAGAGCGAGACTCCGCCAAAAAAAAAAAAAAAAAAAAAAAAAAAAAAAAAAAAAAAAAAAAAAAAAAAAAAAAGAAATACAAAAAAAATACAGAAAAAACATAGTGATGAAGTACAGGGAACACTAAAATAGAATTTAAAATGAGCTCTAATATAGGCTCTTATTTAGGAAAAAAGATTTAAAATAATATCTGTTCTGTTTATCTCACAGAGATGTAAAAATAAAATGTAATTAAGTATGTAAAAACATTTGACAATTAAGTGATAAATATATTAATGTATGTATTATCCCCACTATCTCTACTATTACATCAATTCAAGATTATACAAATAAATTTAAAACTAAAATTGTTCTGAATGCTGTGAAGGAGAGGTACATCATGCTATGTGACAAGAGGTGGAGCTGTTCTGGTCAGGAATGTTGGGCTGAGTATCAAAGAAAGAAGGGAAGTTAAGAAGGCAAAGAGTGAGGAGAAAGTGGGGTTCAGGCAGAGGGCACAGCATATGCTAAAGCTCTATGACAAGGAAAAGCATGGCACATTGGAGAAACTGAAAGGTCAGTATGACTGATGCTAGCAAATATGAGAAAGTACATAAGATGAGACTATAGTGGTAGTAAAGGCAGCCTATGTTAGCAGGGGAACAGTTCCACCATGGCACCATGGCAATTGCATGTCTCCATATAGGCCATGTAGGTAAGACTCGACTGTTGGCAGAATGCCCTGTGATCATCCTTAAAAATGGCAAGATAGGCAGTCTTGTGAGGAGCTATCAAAGGCCATTTCACATTTGCTCCATACCTTGCAGAAAACCCCCGATCTTGCAGAAGACTTGCCATGAGGCAGTTTCTCATCTGCCTCCCTGATTCCACTAAGGCATGGAACTTTCCACTTTGTCCCTTTCAGATAAAACTGCTTAGCTGTAGCCTAGAGTTCACTTCTCAAAAACAAAGCAACTCACCACTCATGTTGTCTGTCATCTGACCCCTCTAGTTTGGTATCATCCTGTGGAATTGGGGATATAAGCAGCTAATACCATGCTGATCTTGCTTTGCCATCTGTGTAAGTAATAAAACTGTTTCAATCCATCAGGGTGTCCTTACCAGCCAAATCTACAAAAGTGAGGCAAGACTACATAGCAGCTACCACTGCATTGCTGCTTAGGGACTGGCTGACCATGTGACCATATAGAACCTTCTAGGGGATGCTAATGATTTAGATTCGAAGAGCTATGGGAAGCCACTGAAGTGTGTTAACCAAAGAGGGGGCATAATCAGATTTGCATTTTGAAAAAACATCACTATGTAGAGTGTAATATGGAGAATAGATTTGAGATAAGACAGAAAGGATGCAAGAAAACCAGTAGAAGTCTAAGCAGAAATGATGGTAACTCCAGAGTGGTGGTGGAGGTAGAGTTACAGAGAATGGACTGATGTGAGATATAGAGAAGGTAAAAATATTTTTAATGCAGAATCAAGTGGAATGATTTTCTTTCTCGAGCAGCATATTGCTTCCCCTCAAGTTTTGCAGCTTTCCTATTAGTCTAGCAATATCTACCTTGTTTGTTTAAGTTCACTCAATAGTTCAAGGGTAAAAGCAAATACATGGGAATGCCTCATCCATTTATTCCCCCCTCACAGATGCCTCCTTCCTTGAGCCCTATATCTGCCTCCTAATGCAATCTAGACCTGCCCTATAACTGTTATCTTTGAACTTTCTTTCATTAAGTTCCTGGGCTGAATCTACTACAAATGGATTCTTGGGCTTTTTCTTTCTTGTTTTACTGGTGCTCAATTTTCAAGCAACTGCCTAAGAAAGGATGTGTGAGAATAAAATTGTCTGAATCTTTGAATGTATTAAGGTTATCTTTATATTACTTTCATACTTAGTAGTTTGGCTGGGCATAGAACATAAAGTTGAAAATCATTTTTCCCTTGGAATTTTATTTTTTATTACTAGTTTTGGGGACAGGGTCTCACTCTGTCACCCAGGCTGGAGTGCAGGTGTGAGATCACAGCTCACCGCAGCCTTGAACTCTTGGGCTCAAGCGATCCTGCCTTCTCATCCTTCCAAGTAGCTGGGATTACAGGTACAAACCACTGCACCTGGCTTCCCCCTGGAATTTTAAATCAATTGACTTTTAGCATCCAACTTTGCTCACAAAAAGACTATTGCAATTTTTTATTTTTGTTCTTTGTAAGCGTTTACAATTTTATCTTTCTCCACAATGTTCTGAAATATCGCAATTATGCT